GATATTTTGCCATATTTTTGCCTTTTGGCTGGGTGACTTAGCAGTATTAAGAGCTTTGTAATAATTCTTCATTATCTCTAGCAAAGCTAACGTTTCATTCCGGCCCCATTGCTTTTGTCGCTTGATACTTGCCATTCCAGATTCTACTTTTGAACTATGTTAGGGATTATAACTATCATTGTGATTACGTTTCTAATACTTACCATTGGTATGCTCATTCACCAAATTTTCAAGATGATTTATCTCATTAACTTCGTTGATTTCAGTGGTATCAACACAGTTTAATGATTGCATAGGGAGGTCGATGTTAGGCATAGGAGTAGGCTCGAGCGATGGATTATACATATAAATGAAGACATTATCACTTTTATTTTGGTTTGAATATGACCGTTTCATGATTGAGCGAAATAATAGAATAACGCGAAACGTACTTTGATATTAATTTTAATACGTGTGTTTATTAGAATATCAATGTCACACAATACGACATGTGAAAAATTTGTTATCACAAGCAGACGTCACAAATAATTACCAATTATGGTACCTCCCCTCTACCTCCCCTACTGTGACTGCCAATTTTAGCAACCTTGATTACCAAATCAGATAGGGGAGGTAGCTGATGAGAGCACCCCATGTCTCCAACCCATGGATGCGGGCATCATCAAATCGTTCAAAGCCAAATACAGACATTATATTGTCAACATGAACTACCCCAAGATCACCAGAATTGGTTACAGTAACGTGACCATCCGTACGACATCTTCAGCCAGTCATCAGCTTTGAAATCTTTTGTCGCATGTGGGATTTTGGTGTCGCACACCGATTTCTTTATTTAGAACTGAGCTGCGTTTACATTTCCTAATAAGAGGTTCATGTCCTAATCGAGAAATGTTTAAGGAGTAAGTATAAAAATATATATTGTTTAATTGATTTTGTATAATAAAGTATTGTAAGTTCTCTCGGAAGGCTGATACCTTGGCATTTTGAGCGTCAACCCCCGTTCCCAAGCGGATTGAAAGTATGTTTACTATCAAGCAATCAACGAGATCGAATTTCTCTACTCTGATTGGTCGAAATCTAAATTCTTTCTTTTCGATCGT